CAGCAGGATCAGAGTTTTACAGACCGAAGGACAGTTTCTCTAACCAGGCCACACGTCTCAGTCTCAGCATGAAAACCCGACTGACTTAGGGGGTGAAGCATTAAACCGCCTAATGACTAACAATAGTCCTGTGTGTTTTCTGCTTGCAGCTCAAGGCCTGGACGACCGCCTAAGAGGCTGCAGAGTGTGACAGAGGGCGGGACTCACCACATGCTGTCCCACAGTGGTCTGATGCATGCTGGGATCATGCCTCCTGCAGGTGACCACCCAGGCCTCACCTCGCACACACAGTACATACGTATGTACTCAGGCGCACACATGTACTGTAGAAACAATATTACACAGGCGAATACACATATTGAAGTAACAGTTTTGAGAGGAATCATTTCTGACAACATATAACTATGATGTACAATGTGTATCTTAAATTGACTCGGCTGCCATTTTATTCAAATGCCAAAATCGGAACTTTTCAAAAAAAAGTGTAAAAAATAACAACAATAATAATGTTTTCCTTTGTTGTATTTAAATCTTTTGATTGTGTTTTAATTAGGTTTTATTTGCGAGAGTCATTCTTGTTTTGTTTGATTTCACAGGTTCTAACATTTTTATTTGATTTTCCTTATTTGCCTCATTTAATGGTCAAACAACCTTTTATTTTTTTTACAGATTCCTGTTCTGTTTTCTATATGATACTTTTATCATCACAAATCCACAAAAATAGAGTGACACACCAGCAGCTCTGGTCGGTGCATTTCAGGAAGTAAAGTAGAAATGAAACTGGAAAACACAATATAATGACGTTACATGTTTGGGAGAAAAAACTGTTACTAACACATTTGTAATTAGGTACAATATTTTGATGTAAAGGTTAAAAAGAAGAAAACATTCAAATTCATTGATAATAAAACCTGAGTAAGAAAATAAATATAAGCTAATAATAAAAATCCTAAGTACATTTTTAACTATGTATAGAGTAAATTATATCTGTGCTATTTGAGAATACACACCAGATATAATAATGGTATTACTAATTACACATGAATGCTGTTATGCAGTGTAACTCCAACCACTACTAATACTTTAGTAATACTAAGATTACTTTCGCATAAGTGTAGTCTGTGAAATGCACAGGGCTACTTTTTATTTGAGTAAAGTACAATATGATAGAATAGAATTATAGACTACCCAAATCTTACAAATAAAGACTAAACAAAGATCCCATGAAAGTTTTAAAAAAAAGGACAAATCTATTGTGTTCACCTTCCATCTCCTTCGATCAAAGATTTATTAAAAGGAGAAAGCCTTTCTGATTCTCTAAATCCTCCTTTTTAGCAACTTTTTCATAATTTCAAGGTTCATAAGTCCCTCCTTTAGCTCCAGGAGCTGTTTTAAAGAGTGAATTAGTGACACATTGTTGCTTGAGCCCTCGAGGAGTTGCTGGCAAAGTCCAAAATTGTGTTCTCTTTTCAGCTCTCTGTCAAAGTCAAAGCAAACACCTGACAGCAAGTCGAGTTATCGCATCCGTTTAAGAAATGAGCAGACAGTGCTGGGGAAGCTACTTCAAAGCATAGATTTGCAAATTACCAGTTACTTCACACTGGAAGAAGCTGAACTACAGCAAATCTACTCTAGGGAGAAGTCAAGTTTGGTTAACTAAAGCTACTTAGAAGAAGTAGCTCAGGCTACTTTAAAAATGACAATGTACATGTGATACAAAATTATAACAAATATAATATATAAACAATAATCACATGCCATCACAAAATGCTGCTCAGTTGAGTTTATTACCAGAGGCTTAAACATATTCTAAATAAAACTATCCCATCTGGGCTTTTCACAAGGAAAAGAATTTGTTATAAACAAATCTGGGGTTAGTATTATCTCACTACAACTAAAACAATAAATAAATAAATACCTTTTTTGGACAGTTTGACTGACTTGAGTGCTGATCTAAAAAAAGGAGCCTGTTGTCTTACTTGTTTGCATCATCTGACTTATACAGTCTTAACCACTGAGATGTGCATCTTCGGTTTGCACCATTTTACGCGGTATGAACAGCTTGAACACTGGTCTAAATAATCTCTTGTTTATATGAGCATTTCTTATCCAACAGGCAACGGTGCTATAAAAATTTTAAAAAATCATCAATTTCCTTTTATGGTGCACAATTTCTTGTAGTTTCAGTAGTTAATTACACAAAAAATGGGAAAAATATAATTGAACTACTCGAATACAAATATGAATGTAGTTGAACTACCAATGTAGTTAAACTCCTAGATTAATTACAGGTATTTCACTGCTCCTAACACTGTGAACAGGTTGTTTATGCAGAATGGATACACCATGGGGCATTTTATTTATTTTTTTTTTCCCACCAGTTTTCCTGCAAACCCCTTATAATGACACATTTTGCACATCATCAATAACATGATGAGGTGGGGCTCTGAGAGGCGACCTGTGTGTTGATTAATAAAATTAGCATACATACTGCTGACACATGAGAAACAACTCATATCTTGCAAGCTTGGACTTTTTTCTTGAATCATAAGTACAAAAAGTTGCCTGTTAACTTGAGTATGACCTGTGAAAACACACTGAAAATTGATGCCTAAGTTCTTTGTGTGCTAACGTGAGAATTCCCATTTTCTTGTGTAAATGACACTCTTATCCTTTAGTTGTCTGTTCATATATGAAATTAAGTTTAAGGATTATTAATCATGAGAAAAATGTCCCCATATCCAAAGGAAAATCTTTCAATCTGTTTTTTTAAATATATTTTAGTTTTAGTATATTCTGACTTTGTAAGACTCAACAACGATAGCACTTGTAGTTGTCTCAAACAGATGTGTGTTTGAGTCCCTAATTTGGTTTTGTTTGTGTGTGTGTGTGCCTTTGTGTGTAGCACACAGACAGGGAGAAAAGTAATTGCTGGCACCTCACTGCTCTCAAAGTTGCCCTTGGCTTTGTGCTCTTCACTGCAACCTGATCTTTTCATTCCCCACCTCAAAAGAAGCCATTTTCTATTAGCCTCCGCTTCCTCTCGCTGTTCAAAGGTGCTTGAGAGTGTGTGTATTTGTGTACGTGTAAGCATTCAAGAGCATCTTTCTCAGTGGGAAAAGAGTCTTTTTCCACCAAAGGAGAGGGCACGGCGGCAATGTCAGCACTACTGATTAGAACTGGCCACATGAGAGGGGAGAAAGAGACAGAGAGAGGGAGGACATTTGAGCGTAAAAGGCAGGGAAAATCTTTGATGTGATCCTCCTTAGTCTCTTTTCCTCACCCTCATGCACTCACACATACACACATGCAACACGGTGGCTTATGTCCCACTGTGATGCTGACATTTGAAAAGGTAAAGTAAGGAGAAGGGATGGGAGGAGAGCAGGAAGAGGGCAGGAAAGAGAAGGAGAGAAGATGAGGAGAAAAGAGAATTTGTTGTGGCTGTCGACATCTTGGACAGACGGACTCTTCACCTCAGACGCTCATTGTTTAAGGAAAAGAAACACTCAACAGTTTGGTGTGTTGCAAATGTTTAGATGCTTCCGAGATCAGGAAATGAAGACTTATGATTTGTTTGTATTTCCTCACTAGTGTTTGCACAGTTGCGTGGTTTATCCACCTTTAATAATTCAGTGTGTTTGTCTGTATTAGTGCAAGAGGTATTTAATTTTCTGTGGCCTAAGATAGAGTTTTAAAGGTTGCTGTAGAGGTCAAACCTTCTGAGGTTCAAAACACCAAATTAAAATGTGGTTCAGCCCTCCTGCCACATTTTGTCACTCTCCATTACATATTATCCAGAAATGCACAACCTCTATTAAAAAGTATTTTCAGTTGTTGTCTGATGCCTTTAATTTGTACTGATAGCAAAGTGCTCTCTGGCTAAAAGGTGGAGCTGCCGCCGCCGCTCAGTGTCGTCCTATGTGCTGTGCTGTGGGATGTGAGGTCCCTGTGTGGGAGAGATGAATGTCTTGGCTTGTTCCTATCACTGCTGATTCCCTGGCAGACTAAATGGTCAGTGCAGCAGTGCAGTAAGAATGAATGGCCGGTCTCTGTCTTCCCATGACAGCTTCCTGCCTACCCACTGCTCTAATCCACCGCTGGGGCCATTGATCTGGCTCTTATTGATTCTTTCTTTTTATTTCCTTCATTTTCTTTTTCCTCCTCTCCATACCTGTCTCTCCCTCTCAGATCTGTCTACGCTGGCCAAGAAGATCAAGCTGGAGGCGATGGCTGGTTACCACAGCAACCAACAACACTGCAGGCCAAACGGAGAGAACGGTGACCACAACGCTGGACTGGGTGAGTCTCATCCATTTGCTCATCCACATGCACACACACACTCATACACACTGCACTAATGCGTGCCTGTGAAATGTTTAATTACAGTCTTATATCACGTTGCATAGTTATGGTCTGTGATGCCGGGTCAATACAAGTAGCTGTGTTTATGTGCAGCGGCTGAACCAAACTGATTAACACCCGGATATGACATCACTGCTTCTGCCTGTTCATTTCTTCTGAGACATAGTGAATGAAAAACAAACTGCAACAGCCATGAGTCAGGTTTAGCTGAAATTAGAAATAGACATCTGGGTAAGGTCATCCAAAACATCAAAACATGGAATGAATT